GTGTTGCTAGCCACAAGTTATATGATTATTAAAATACTTTTACAAATTAATTCAATTGCGAATAAACGATTATTAGTAATGATGTTGATTAAGGCCCAGCGTGCGAGTACTATCAATTAACGCTAGCTTCGCGATAAGCTTAATGAAATCATCGATAAAATAATTATTCCGCTAGTAGGTAGATCATTATTTAATAAATAATACAAATGTAACAGAAAACAAAGGTTGCCGGTTTGATACAATATGTTTTTTAATAAATTCTTAAATACTATCTGTAAATTACGCGAGTAGTATACATTTAAATAAAACCTGTGACGGCTGCTGAAAAGCATCCGAAACGTCGAGCCGTAGTTAGAATAATTTTCAAATAAGTTTAACTAATATATATCGCGTTTTAAACCGTAAGAGTGTGTTATTTAAATACATTTTTAGATTTTTCTAAACATGGACGGTACTCGGAATATCGAAATTCCCGTCGGGGTGACCAATAGATAGAAAAACCTGAAAAAGTAAATTACATATTAAAGTCAAAGTATCAAATCTTCGAAGATGCATAGCAAAAATAGGTCGACAGCGCAATTTAGCTGTTACTTCTCTATCAAGTGAAACGTATATTTGCCTGCCGTGCAGATCTAGACTCAATCTTATCTAGATTCTCACCTGTTTCATCTGCTGTTTCCAGAAGACTAATTAGCGCGAAAAGTATTTCTACAACAGAAATATATTTGCGTCACGATATTTTTAACTTTGCTTCCGTCCTTGTAGGTCACCTTTTAATTACGGCAAGATTTTTAATATTTTAGGAAAAACTAGCTTTACGAAACTGAACAATGCGTTTTAACCTAGAATAATCTACAAATGAACAGTTTAGTTTTAATAGGCGGTATCTAGTTTGATAAAAAGAAGCGTATGTATCAAATAACACATTATAAAGGTATTAATGTTAAATCTAAGTATTCCACACTTTTTTTAATTTTTAAAATTTACACTTATCTCTTTTTTAATGCTTTTATTTATTAGTTTTGTTTCTATATTTATTGTAAAGTAGATGATTAGCACTATTATTTACGTCACTCAGCCATATGGCACGTAGCTATTCCCTTCTAGAGCACATAGATATCATTCTTTAATTCGCCCGATTACAAGTCATGTTCCATTTTCTACAGTTATTTTTTTCGGTGATATAACATTGGTCACGATTGATGTAAGATTTTCCTTTAAATAGAATTCAGATTTATTCGCCATCGAATAGGGAAACAGGCCGACGTCGTTCCACTAAGCAAACGTTCTACACACGTAGGACAAGTACATGAATGTCTCAGCCTCTATTCCTGGAGTATGCAAACTAGACGAATAACTGAATCCGCTAACAATGAACTTTCTAACACAAAATGTAACTTAAAGTTGACTACGCTAAGCTACGTTGCTTTTATTCACTTAGTTGGCTGTTGAAAACTTATATTTTGGAAATGATACCTTTATCTATACTCACTAATATATAAAGCTGAAGAGTTTGTTTGTTTGAACGCGCTAATCTCAGGAACTACTGGTTCGAAATTGAAACATTATTTTTGTGTTAATTAGAACATTTATCGAATAAAACTTCGCGCGGTGATTAATAGGAAATTTTAATCTTTGTGGGTTACCGATGCGTACGCTGCGAAAACGGTTCAAGAAGCCCAAAAAATTATTCCTTTTTTAATAATCTAAATAAATGTCTGCGACACTATATGTCTATCTTAAGATTATTATTATCCGAAGATTAACTTGCAAGACGGGACCCGAACGACGGGTCGCAAGCGACAGGACGCGTCCGATGTCGGTGTCGGATAGCAGTTTAAATTTATAAAGATGAAGAGGAGGTTTCCAAAAACAAATTTGGATGTCCAAAATAACTTTCCACGCGGACGAAGTCGCTGACACAGCTAGTATAATATAAAAATCTAATTCCTTTAATTTGAGGATGATCAGCGGATGCCCGTTCAAAACCCGTTCGTGTCGTCAAATTTGTATATTACAATAGATTTTTAATTTAGATGTCTTGATAAAACTTGCTCGCAAATTCTTTAACTAACCCACTATATCGTATTTTAATAATCGCGTATTGAAACGAAGGGCAGTTTTAACTGTCATTAGTCATTGGACTACGCATTTTCTTATTTAATATTAGCTATTTTTTTTTGTGTAGTATCTTCAGTCAAACGTCATTAGATTTATATTTCTATTAAATAAAGCACAACGACGTCACCCCGTGATCACGGCTGCTAAATCATACGAAACATCGGGCCATAGGTAAAATAAATTGTAAATAAGTTAACTGATACAATACGCGCTATGAACCGGTAAAAGTGTTTTATATAAATGTGTACTACTCGCGTTAACTACAGACAACACTCATTTATTTTTAATTCCAAATTAACAGCGAGTTCTCGAGTTATATGACCCAATAAAAACACCAGTTTACAGCAAACGCAACATCGTTATAGTGGTGGTGAAAACCACACCTAATAACTAAAGCCAGTACACCACCACGATCAGTAACGTACTAATATCACCTATAAAAAATGCTTTCATTTCAATTATAGCCTTTGATAATATTAAAGAATTAACGATGAAACATGTTTCAAGATCCCCATTCTCCGCAAAGAGGAAAATGGGGAAATGGGTGAAGTGGTTAGAACAAGGCGTGGACTTATCATCCGACCTTCTAACAGAGTCACCAATAGAAAACATTAATTATTATTATTATTGCCTTTCAATAATTTACTTTTCAATTCAGCACTAAACAAAGGAGTTAAGTACTTGATATAAATCCTATTTGGAAGCACATACACCTAATGTGACCTAGATATTCAGGTTGGCATGCCTTATTATAATAGAACTCCGTGAAGGTACGGAATCGTCATGTATCGTTGTGGGCCAAACGAGAGCTGTTTAAACACACGGCCTTAGTCTAAAACTATGGCTTACGTGAATTCAAAAACAAGGTTTTTCTTAAAGTGTGAAATTTTTATATTTTTTTTGATAAGGGATTCACTTGATGAATAGTGAAATAGCGCCCGCCAAATAACATCTAATCTATTTGGGGTTGGGACATTCACAGTTTGAAATCAACTGAGCATTCGTAAAGTTTGTATAAAAGGTCAAACAAAGTTTCTAAGATGACACAGTAAAATACCTTCTCATACTTTTAAGACATCCAAAACACTATTTGCGAATATATATTTATACAATTATCATTTAATAATTATAAGAAACATAAAAATTACACAGTACATGTGGGTTCGGTAAAAATCGTATCCTTTTGTATGAAGCAGTTACTGCCTTCATTAACGTCAATTGATGTAAGTAATGACACCGACAGGTTCGAATGAATAGTGTCAATAATGGGTATGTTACCATGATATATCTTAATATTCCGTAGACATTACGTAATGGAAATTTAGTTTGAAATAGTGGAGGCATTATAGCGCTAAATATTCCATGGATGCAAGTTGGAGATAAGATCCAGAGGAGTCCCTTCTGGAGTTTAATAAACTGAAAAACGATTTTCAGTGAACATTATAAGAAGAACACTTATCAAAGTCGAGAATGGTGTAATATCTCTTAAAATCATAAGTTACATTACAAATTCTCGAAACTTTTATATAATGTAAAAGGAGTATAAACAAAAAAAATACAAAGGGCAAGAAGATGTACAAATCAAAATTTATAGCATTAATGAATAAAAATTTCGTACTTCTCTGATGATAAAAAACAATGTTGACGTAATTTTCTTGTGCCAAGTGAAAATGTGGGATAATAGAAAAAGGCATTTGTCTGTCTGCGTGGAAACTGATGATTTTCGCCATTTTTAGAACTTGCAAATAGTTTTCGGTAAACAAGCAAAAGGTACATCCCCAGTTTAATAAAAAAGTAGCTTTCATCCACTTCAAACCGTCATTAAAGAGAGACACTGTCGTCGGTCTCAGATCAGTTCTCTCGGCCCACAAGCTTGATTTCCACTCATTTTGGGATCATAGGATTCATGGACAACACAGCTTTTTCACACCCAAATGTATGTGGAGTATCGATTGTTCCTGACTCATGCATATGTCCAAAGTTGTCCGAACCTCTTTGTAGTTCACATAACTTTCTAGTTCGATCATACAGCGCACAGCATCGATGTTTTCGTTATTCACACCGGTACACGGCAACCTTTACAAATTTCAATCAAAGTTTCAAAACAAACATGGAGATTGACACAACCATGTGCAGTTTCTCCAAACTATAAATAGTTGTCTAGCACAGTGCTTCTACACCAAAGGCAGAATCATACCAAAAAGAGACACTTTTGAGTTATCAAAATACTTTAAAAAAAATATACAAACAAAAATTCTTCAATTTAGTTTATTGTATGTTTTCAATTATAACAATTATGAGTCATATGAAATAACTTATTATATAGCAGAAGAGTTCCTTCTTCAAATGTTGTAATAACTTTATTAGTTTAGTAGTAATTTATTGTCAACTATGTATAATATCAATAATAAACTGATATTCAGTTTATTTATTTGCTTAATGTCAGAATAACTCAGAAAATACATATATATATTGTTCTAATCAGATATGATGGATTTTATTACCCCAAAAATTCCTATTTGCTTCAAATATTAAGGATATATTTTCTTTCTAAATAAGCAATTTTCCTTATTTTAACAATAATTTTATATATGCAATATTAACTTTACTAGCTAAATACATTACTTTATTGTTTAAATAAAACACTTTAACAGTTTAAATGTTTAAACATTAAAGTGTTTTATGTCACGCGTAGTTTAAACGTTAAAGTGTTTATGCAGCAGCCTGCTGCAAAGCATCCGAAACTTTGGGCCGAAATTAAGAATCATTTTCAAATAAGTTTAACTAATATATCGCGTTTTAAAGCGTTAAAGTGTTTTACTTAAATGTGTACTTCTCGTGTGAACTATAAACAGTACTTTATTGTTGAACAAACTTACCTTTGGTAACTTAGCATTCCCTCCAGTGCGGACATCTCTGATAGTGGCAATGTCCAGCATTTCCACCTCCATGTTCTGATCTGTCCAGTACAGAAAGAAACCATTTGGATCCACCCGCAGGGTAACTGGCAATCCGATTCCAGAATCCTAAATTACATAAAATAAATATGTCTTATTTAAAGATAAGGTTTAACTCTAGGAATATAGAACTCTAGACAAATGTTTTATTTGTATGGACCAAAATTTATAATCTACCGAAAGATTGAAGAAACATAAATATAAATTTCATAACAAACTGACGAAAAAGTTATTTAAGAACTTGCCTCATCCCACTTAATGAATTTTTCGCCTTCCTGCAAAGGTTTCGGCACTTCTATTGGCTTCAATGTTACACCAACTGATCTTGTAGATGTAGTCATTATGAATAACAAACACTTATACGGAAATCATAACACTCTCGTTGATAAAAACAGTCATCTTCCTCCCTACGCGATGTACCTGAGATAGTTATCAATGATACGCATAGTAAAGGCACGAAACAAATGTACACGTTACAAACTTAATCGTTTAATAGATAAAACTAATTGTCCTTGAGTGCCCAACGAATATTCATTACGTTGGGTTATGCCTATGAAACATCAAACAACGAATATTTCCCACATCTTATTGCACGCAACCACAACCAAAAAGTACCATCGAAAATTGAGAGAGAAGTGTAACGTTAACGTCAACTTCAACCACCTTTTTGTGATTGAAAGTTGACATATCACAGATTATAATATTTTTTAAACTTCAAAATAGTCTATAGAAAAAATATATCAATGTACAATAGTACTATCATGAAATGCACGCTTACACAAATAAACATTTTTTTTATATTAACAAGTACTTACATATTGGTATTTTTAATTGTTATAGAAAATTATGAGTTTTCACTTTTGAATCGATTTATAGGGGTTAAAGCCGGTTGTTGAGAGAACATTTTCTCATCTTTCTAAGAGCTGGTATCACTGTTAGTTTTTACAACTTTGTAGTTAAGCAAATTAACAAACACAGATCGACGATTCTTTATTTTTAAATGTATGAAAAAAAAAACAATAAATAGTTGGAATCAAAGAATATAAGAAGTGTAAATCTAAATAAAACTATCAATTATTATCTAAAATGATTTCAGCCTTAACTGTTATAATACGTACTAAGATACTAAATTCATTTTAGTAGATTTATATATATAAACATTACCGACCGAAAAAATACAAAGGGATTTTCATAGTTATCCTTCTAATTTTCTGAACAATGGCCAATTCCGTGAACATATCAATTGAAGCACCAATTGAAAATCAAATACAAGAAATAACCTACGATGGTCAAGAAATATATCAAGCGTAAGCAACGTTTTAAATTGTTCTCAGTTCTTTATCTCTATATTCACAATACTTATATCCTGATTACTTACAGCCCATTGTCTATGTCAGAGAACCTAGCTAGATTAGCTCAAAAAATTGACTTTTCTAAAGCTGATGATGATTACTGTAATATTAAGAAAGAAGGTGAAAGCAGCACAGATGTTAAGTCTGAAGAAGATAAAGATCCTGGATATCAGTCTAGTTTATGGCCGTGGGACTCAGTGAGAAATAAATTACGGAACGCTTTAACTGAAGTGTCTGTGCTTGCTGATGTACTTAGCATTGCAAAGGAAAAAAGATACATGGTACTGGTCAACTGATTACAGAAATTTATTTATTTATATTTAATAATAAGCAGCATACACGTCAATAATTCGTGAAGATATCAATTGTTTAATTTTTTTCTGATATATTTAAACAAAAAGAAATAATTAAATTTCAGGTTTTGGACCCTATCCAAGCAGAGCAGCCAGAAAGTCGACCTATGGTGCAGGTATATGGTCGTAAAAAAGCACTGTCTGCTGCTGGGGCAGTTCTCTTAAATGGTGTAGAACGCCTTCGAGCAAGTGAAACTATGAGAATGACAAGAAACATGCCAGACTTTCACATTGATCTGTTAAGACTAAGGCAAAACTGGAGATTGAAAAAAGTCTCCAATACTATTGTTGGTGACTTAAGTTATAGGACAGCTGGTTCCAAGTTTAGTCAGACAGGAGTTTTTGAGGTACTGCAAGAACTCACTTAGTGGTTAATTTCTTTACTAATTGTTTTGATTAGATAGGCCCTACTGGACCACAAACAAAATTGACCACCTCATGACCCATAGCGAATATTGTTGTCTTTAAATACTTGATTAATAAGCAAGTCTTTATATCTGAGCTGTTATCTTTTTACTTTTATAATTACTTAAAATTTTAGGTCACCAAAGCACCTGAAGATCAAATAGCCCAAGCAATGAGTTTGAATGCATCAGGACCGGCTCCATCTGCCCTGCGAGTAACTGTCCCGCCAGAGTTACAAGGAGTTGCTTTTATATCGGTATTATGTCAAAAAGGTTAGCAAAGATTAAATTAGATAAATTCATTATAAGTTATCACTCAATACCGTCTGCTGCAAAACATCAGAAACGTCGAGCCGAAGTTAAAAATCATTTTCAAATAAGTTTAACTAATACTACTTGCATAAACTATAGACAGTATTCATGTAAATACTTTTTACATTACGTATTCTTAGAGCAAGAAGATGTAGTGACAGCAACAATTAGTTCTTCGGCTATCAACTGTCCTGGCACTCTCTTTGGTGATGGGGCAGATTTGCATTGGCAACAAAAACTGGAAGCTGCCCAGAATGTATTATTTTGTAAGGAGCTCTTTGCAAGACTCGCTGCAGAAGCAGTACAGTTAGATGCATCTATACCACATATGGTAGTTGGCAATCAAATTATGGCAACAGTAAGTCTAAATGTTATAATATCGTGTTTAACCACTAAACACCAATACTATTTCATGTTTTTCTAAAAAAAAAAATAATAATACCAGAAGAGATATTAAAATTTTAATAGCAACATTTTTTTATTGCAGGTCCTACCAGGAATCCAGCTATTGATTGGACTGTGCCATAATAATAGGCAAAATACCAATGGCAATACAGATAATGTCAAGGTATGTTTAATATTTGTATATAAATAACTAATAATATTGTACAAAAAGATATTTAAAAAATTATGCCGGTTTGCCTTAAAATACAACAAAAATGACACAAGTTATATTTGCATAATATATTATTAAATTTAAAAATTAGACTGAAGGAGCAACAAGCAACAAGAACGAACATGACCATGTGTTGGAACACTCGCTGCATCAGCTCTTACGAGCCGTGCACCACGCCAACACCCACCATCCCTTCCCCCACCCGGCTACCGGACCACTTGGACCCTCTAAACGAAGATCACTTGCAGGTAGAGTAGAGTAAACCCTCAAGCTATGTGAATGAGTTTTAAGTTACTGTGATTTTACATAATCTTTATATTTATACTGATAACAGTGTCTATAACTTAACATCCTGCAATGATTTCCTGTAATATTTGTCTGTCTTTTTTAGGTCCGATGGCGGCAGATCGCTACGAACTGCTGGAAATGAGCAAAGAGCAATCTCTCTTAGAACAGATAATCCAACAAGCCCAGCATTTCTTTATGAGAAGGCGCAGCGAATATGTCTTAGACACTATAGCTAAAGAGGTAAATATTATATTTTTTATATAAACACCTGCCTGAAAATTACTATTTTAATTTATTTATAATTTTATAGGTGAAGGATCCCTTGATAGTGTCTCACTGGAATGCGCTGAACAGTCCCACTCAGTCTTGTGTTAAAATCAACATCATGGCTAATGGGTAAGCATTGCAGAAGAGGTCCCAGAGATCAATTTCATAACATTTTTGGGTCGGGTGAGAAGTCTACTAATCTAAACTTCTCACCCAACAGTGTTTACGCGAGTAGTACACATTTAAATAAAACACTTTAGTGGTTTAAAACGCGATATATTCTAAACGATCGCTTTAAGTCTAATTAACTACTTAACTATAAATAAAGTCAATCAGTGATACAGACTTAGATATGTGTCTGCCTCATGCTTCATATAATAGGGAAACGGCTGCATAAACACATACAAGTATACACATATACATAGAAGTTTTCCTTTAAATTGGATATTTAATCAGGAAGTACTAATTACCATCCCACAGGTATGATGCTGTATGTAGAACGTCATTAGTGGTGGCTGTCGGAGAAAAGACCCTTAAGTGTATATGTAGAGATGGCAAAGTGCGACATCTCTCTTATGAATTACAGGAGCTTCGAGACCTTATATATTGTCAGGTAAATATAGTTGATTCCTTGATTATAAGTATTAAGTAGATTGTAACTAAATTTAATATCTTATACAGGTTTATCAGCATCAAATGACGGCTGTACAGGCAGTGGCTCGTTGTATGGGATGGCAGTTGTTAGCGAGTAGCTCTCATTTGGGATCAGGTCCAGTTGAGCCTCTAGGAAATGCATCTTCATGTTTGCTGGCATCACCTTATGGTTAGTATAGTTAACTTTAGTAAAATATCTTTTGTCCAGCAAACAACTGTCCAATGGTAATAGAAAATCACATAACTTTCTTTGTCAAAACTTAGTTACCATGTTTAATGCTTTTTTAATTATTATTCTTTTTCTCCCACAGGTGACAGAATGATAGCAATAAGATGTGAACCATCAGTTGGTATTCAAGTGTTTATTGCCCAATCACCCAAAAAGGATTTCTATGTTAGTGAATTAGTTCAAGATAAAAAATGGGAGTACCTCGGTGGTGCATTCAAGGAAGTTAAGCTAGAGAAAATGGAAGGCAAGAATTTCTTGAATAAAATGGAACTGCTCATGGCCTGTTTAAGCAGTACTTCATAAAACATAAATAAAAATACTGAAATGGAATTTGTTTCGTGTTTTAATTCTTATTTTTTACATAAAGAAATCTTATCCATAGTGCTTCAGTACAATGTTAAAAATACACTGAAGGTTGTTGTTCTTCCTTATTTTGTTAAAATGACTAAGTAATTAAAGATAAACATAATCTGAAATGAAAGAAAATTTTATTTATTACAACATATTTAAGATGCGATCATTGGAAATACTAAAAATATTAAGTTCAATTTTGGAAATTCCAATGACAATCAAAATTGAACCCTAATAGTGCTACCATATTACAACTATGAAATTAAAGGGATCTGAGAATATTAATTTAAAAAACAAACAACATGAAATAAATTAGACAAAATTTATTTCATTAATAGACAATGATAGTAGAATTAAAATAATGTAATATAAATCTATCATTTATTAAGGGTAAGTCAAAATGCTTATTTGTTGGTGCACTTTGGATAGAAATGGGACTAAATATGTTAGGGCAATATAACCTACAATTAGGTAAGAAAGTTTAAACAAGCAAGTTACAACTTCTGATAATATCTTACACACTAAATATAATAAATATTGATAAAAATGATGTACCTCTAAGTCCTAAGACATTGACAACTCTTTGTAGCATTAAACCCCCAGTATTGACAACATTTGATTTTAACACGCGGAAGGCTTCAGATTATGATTAACATTAAACCTAACTAGAAACTACCATTAAATTAAAACCGACCGAGCGGCGACCTAGATCTGCCATTGTCCCTGTTGCCCGAACCATACCCATTACGGTTGAAGGAGCGGCCACCGCCGCCGCCGCCACCACCACCGTAGCTGTTGTTGTAGGGTCTGCTGCCACCGCCGGAGCCTCCGAATGAGCGTCCGCCTCGCCCGCCGAAGTTTCCGCGGCCGCCGCCACCGCCGCCGCGGAAACCTCTGCGGGGCCCATCACGTTTTCTCGATAACTCTACTTTTAATGTCGCGCCTAGCATTTCGAAACCGTTCATAGCACTACAAGCATCTTCCGCCTCCTGCATGTTTTCAAATTCTATAAAAGCGAAACCTGGGGGGTTAAGTGCAACCCAAACTGAGTTCAATTTTCCATATTTATCGAATTCCCGCTCCAAATCTTCCTTTTTGATTCCTTCAACTAGACCGCCCACATATACACGAGTCCCTCCTGAGCTCATTGTGATAATTCTAAAATAATAAACAACAATATTAAACCCAAGCGGCAATAAATACAATGAATTCAATAAAACAAGATGTCGTCTAATGCGATGCCACGCCAACCGACAAAATAACTTTAGAATTAACCTTAAAATTGGAAAGTACTCACCTGTATTTTATGTGTTACGTATATTAAGACTTAAAGAAGTCTATTTATTAAGTAATTAATAAGATAAAACTACTTTTTTTTAAGAAACACTAAATTTAAGATAGATCAATACGTCGATGCCTTAGGACCGAATGGTTAAGGAAAGAACGATTCTTGTTTCGCGGTAATCATTGTAATAAAATCTAAAGTTGTGACAGCTCTTGTTATTCGTTAGTAACGAATACTTAACTCGGAAACTAACTCTACTCTAGTACTCTAGATTTTGGTTAAGCATTTTGTTCTCATTTGATATTTATTTTAGAAAAAAATAGACATCATAGATGGAACTAATCAATATATCAGAATACACCTAATTGACTTAACTTAAATTTTTCAACAAGTTGTTTAAAACAAAGATCATTATACTGATGAAATGTATTTATTATAAATTTTTTAAAATGTATTTATCACATTGTTAAAAATAATGTGGAAAACCTTTTTTTTTATCCTAATAAGTAATAAAAAGTATAAAAAAAGGATTTGAATAAAGAAAATATAAGCAATTACTTTTAACGATATAGGGCTATATTTTGATTTTTTTACGTGATAGATAAAATCTTTGTTTTAAGAGGAGTAACGATATCAAACGATAATTTGTAATCAGTACAAAATATTTGGTAACGAATACAAAACGGGATTTATACGCGACACTATTCAGTACACAGCTTTATTGAAACCATTCACTTTTGGTCGTTCACTATAGACTATAGAGACGCAAGGCAGATTACAGATTAAAAATGACAACTTAGAAAATTGACATTATCTTACTAATATTGTGGCTATAGGAATAGTTTACTAAAGAAAAAAAATTAATAGAAGAAAACCATTTTCTTCAAGATTAAAAAAAAATTACTCCTTAATAGATTAAAATATGTAAGTAGACAAGATTAAATTATTTTATTATCTAATGTTCACTAGAGATTCTTAAGAACGATACTTGACAGTAATATTGTATTATATTATATATTTATATAATAAATACACGTAATTGTAAGATATCTTTTTTGTTTGAGATAATGTTTGAATATCATGAATTTTGAAAAACCAAATAAGAATTCGAACAAGAATGCCGCGTTATTACTAATTATTATATTTGCCAGCTATTTAGATTGTCTGTTTACTCCTATGTTTTATCATTATTATTTGGTTTAATCAAGAAAATAAAATTATTTCATGTCTAAACAAAAAGGTTTTACAATAGATTACAAGTTATAAAAGCAACAAGTACAAGTTATACAGTCAATTATAGTTTTTTGTAGTGTGTTTTTTAAGTGTGTAATGGGTATTCGCAAACTTTCTTTAAAAATATAAGTATAATTTCTAGCAACACAGTTGGAGGCTTTACTACGGAGGACTTGCGTGTGAGGAGTGGGAGGACCGCGGAGGGAGGGAAAATACGGGCACACGAGTGCACGAACAAAACCGGCCAAACGGCTTTGTTTAACGGTCGCAAGGCGCGCGGTGGCGCGCATTTTCGCTTGTTTTCCTTTCGATTTTGGCCCCACCTTTGTTTTGTTGCTTTTGAGTTGGAACAACTACGAAGAGACTATAACACTATAAGATATTAAGTCTAATTGAATATTAGGAAAACGTTTAAAATGTGTTCTTATAAGAATTTAAATACCTGAACAGTGTTTGGCTAGGTGTGCTAAGAACATTCAGTGTTTTAGTGAAATGTGTTCTGTGTTCAGTTAGTATGGAGTGTTGCAAAGATATGGGGGTTCAAAAGAGACACAGCCAGTTCAGTGACACAAAATATAAATGGAGGACTGTGTTTTTATTAGTTTTCGTGACCTCTTGTGCTGGACAAGACAGGGAGGATATAGATCCTTACCTCTTGAATAAGACTTTAGGCCTGACAGAATTACCTGGAGGTATTTTAACCGGGGGCTACACGGTATGGAAGGCTGATGGCAGTCCATATATGTTACGCGATGATCTCTTAGTGGAAAGAGAAGCAGAATTGCTTATTGAACCTGGCGTGGAGATACGCTTTGCACCTATGATTGGAATTACTGTAAGAGGGAAATTGCTGGCTGAGGTAAGTTTTTAATTTAGAATTTTACACCATCATCACTTTTTAAGTCATTAAGATGAGAGAAGATGCGTAATTGTTAATTTAATAAATAGTGTAATTAGGTGAACTTCCTATTAGTACATAATGACGTGCTCCATCCCTTTATCGATAAGGTATGTAGGTAGATTAGAGATAGGTACCAAGGTTTGATAAATTACAAAAGGTACGAAATGATAACAGTACTCGGCGTGATATTGTTATCAAATTCACCTGTGTACTGTTGTATCGATCTGTTTATTTTGTATAAAAGCGTATTGTGAAATCGCTTTTGCAAATATTTGTAGAGTTGAGTCTTTTATATTTTAATAGGGTTAAGGTAGAAATAGTTCGAAGCAAACCCAAATAATATAAAGAACTAAATTAAGTAAAACCTCGCAAGTGACTTGTGTTCGAAAACTAGAAAATCACGAAAAAATTGCATCGGTTTAAAGATAACATAAAAATTTGACTTTACATACATGCAAGTGTAGAATTAAAGGCTTAAACTTTAAATATCCAAAGCCAAAATAGGTCATTAAGGTTATTTTCACCTCACCCCCCCCACAAGTGAGCACCGCATGCTTAATCTCCTCTTTATTAAAAAGAAGACTGTCGGGACAGGCTTCCGCCCATGTCTACTTCATTCTAACCTGAATATCCCATTACCCATCGTTTTATTGTATAAATCAGAAATTATGAATCATGAGTAAACGCAGTGGTAGATTCTTGACCCCGATTAGTAAAAGTGGCAGCTGTTCAAAGCGCCGCCCGAATGCATCCTGACACTCGACCCTGATTCTAATTCAATCAAAGCTGGGCTCGGATCTTATTGAGTCATAGCTGGACTCTCCGGATGTTACCTAGGGTACATAATAAGCGGAACACTGCTATGCCAGCGTACCTGTAGTAACAAAGTTGTAAACAAAGGATTCTTACAAGACAGTAATTGCGTCCAATAAAAAATATAAACGTCGCTTTCCTATGAGACTTAGGGCAGACTTTTTTTTCGACAAAATCGATCACAAGTAGTTTTTACGGGCTTAAAGGAATCGATCTTAGGACTTCGCAGCAAAGTGTGCTAACCCCACCCCTTATAGAGGGCCACGAGAATTCCCTTTTTACTAAACATTAGTTACCTAAGATCAAAAAATAAGTACGCCTTTTATTGGACTTTACTTTCACTGTGCCCCGAAGACAACGCAAAACAGGTTTAAAATATGCCCGACGCACCCCATCGTAAAAGTGAACGCAGCAAAAAATATGATGATACGCGAGGGAGGATACGTCAACCACAACCTGTTGGACGTACGTTATCAAACAGGACATTATTATTCTAACCCTTACTTTTTATACCATTTGGTAACAACAAATAGATACAGCTTGCTGGAGTTCAAACAGGCTCCAATAAGGAACGCACAGATAAAAAACTTTAAATTCTATGTCCTAATAGTAATAAAATTTAGAAATACTTGGACCGACTCTGTGGCCAAATGGTTAAACGTATTGCCTATCATTGCGTTAAGCGCGAGAGGTCCTGGGTTCGAATCCCAGGGAAACAAAAACTTGTTTCGGTCGGGCAGGGCAGAGAAGTCTGATTACTTGCCTGTTAAATAACATATCAGTGTAATGGACACAAAAATGTGTTCGTCCCATGCCCCACGAGGGGGAGACGGGATGTCACTTTTTTTCTATCTTGGGAAGCCCTATCTAAGTTGAAGTATTTAATATTAAAATGGTATCCAGACTGATAGGCGCCGTAACGTAAGTACGTTCTGGCTTGTTAAGGCAAACCTTTAAATTCGGTTAATCGATTTGATTAAATTATGAGGGCTCCCAAAAATAGACATGCATTTTAGAAATTCTAAGAAGTTTTCCTTTTATGAAGACTGCCTGTTTTGTTTTTTTGAATACAGTTACTCGTCTCATAATATCTCTTTGTCTATCAAAAACCTTGTGGTACATCCGTGGCGTTGTTTAATTAGGACTCGTTCATATCAAAATTGTGTCAAGTTCTCTAAACACAGATAACAGAATCAAACCAAAAAGATACCTTTGTCGTGAAGACGAAGAATCGTTTAGGTTTGAACCGCCATCAACGAGTGATTTTTTATTATTTTTGGGCGTTGTTAGAAACAATATCTAGAATATTCGATGATGAATAATGCAGAAGCAGACAGTTCTCCCAAAATTGTGATTCATGATGAAGAGGATATATCGAGTCTCACGCAAAGTTTCTTAAATGGAACGTAAGATTTGTAGGTCTGATCCAGCGCAGATCTATTAGTCTAAATTTTAGACAAAAAATAGGTTCCACCTAATAACGTGAATGACCTCTTATCTCGAAACCAAGTAACGTTTCGTTAACGGTTAACCCTCGGTTGAGTAACCTCATAGTTACGTCGTAACCTTGGTGCATAGAACAGCATAACTGGAGGCGCCAGTGAATCATTTAATCTAATTATGTCTTTGATGACTGTTCCACCTCTAATCATTGTTAATTGCCGAACATTTTTAATTATTCTTGATCATTATTCTTTAATTATTGTTAATTAATTAGTTAACTTTTTTAACTACGATCAGATTGTTCTGATCACGTGGTCACGTGATAAAATTAGAAGTTATATAACTAATATATCTATTTTGCGATTTAAGGCCGTTGTTACAAAGTGTGGAGGTAGTAAACTAAAGAATATGATTCCAAATGTTTTTTTTGTCCTATGATTAGCATAAACAAGTAATTATAGAAATGAGGATGTTTAAGAACCAATCTATCATACGCAATACGTAGCTTATTTAAAAATACTTTTAATTTTATAAAATGAAAGAACAAATGGCACAAACTACCCTCTCACTAATCAATTGAAATAGAGATTCGGGGGGGGGTTGAAAGAATGTTTTTTAGTTTTAATTGCCGGTAAATAAAATTGATCTAATATGATCAGAAACCAAGATATGGTAAACGGGATCTCACATTTTAATCTGTTTTATTTAGGTTAACAGCCATTCAGGTAAATACGGCAGATATTAATAGTCACGCTCGATCTGTGACTCACGAAGTCACGGTGTATGTGAATCATATTGTAAAAGTGAAATCAACCCGTTTCTTATCAAAGACTTGGTACGGTTTGCATTTCTCTGTTGTAACGTTATAACTGCGTTTACGTTGTTTTTAATGACCGAGTAGGACAGACAAGCTTAGGGTTCATTCGATGCAAGGTGAAATAATCCAGCCATATACAATTTAAACAAGATGCGTTGACCTACTTTGGCTTTGCACATTTATCAATCCAAAGAAAAAAAGCGAAACGAGATTAAACTCGACGGCTATTTCATCTATCTCGATATAGGAATATCGAGACCGACATAGGTCGGATAGGAATCCGACCTATTTAATATCCAGATTACTAGACGAAATCCAACATGTTTCAATTTAATTATAAAGTTCACAATCGCGTTTCCAGTTCGGTTGGATTTAATATCCAAAGCCTTCGACAGGGCATCCTCTTTAGAAATAAGGCCGCTAAAATCAGAGTAGCCTAATTGCAAATTTATATATATATTATAAAAATGTTAATCTACAAGAGCACAGTGATCGAAAATTGTTTACATAATTCTTACAGAAATAATAGAACGATATCATTTTCTTCTCCCAAATGTAACACATCAGTATGTAACTCTACTCTCCCATATCGTTGATATGCCAAAATGAACATAACAATTCACAGAACGGAAGCCGCAGATCGTATCCGTTTGCATGTGATTACCTATCTCCTTATCAGCACAGCGTGCCTGTCCTCTCCTATTTCGATTTAAGAATACGAGTATGCCCATAGAGTGTATGATACTTAGAATTCCCATTAAAATGTTGATTAGTTACCTGCTTTTATAAAAAGTATTATTAAGATTCGAAACGAGAACTTAATAAATTTAATAATTTAAATAAAACACTTTAACGGTTTAAAACGCGATATATTAGTTAAACTTATTTGGAAATGATTTTTAACTTCGGCCCGACGTTTGTTTAAGTTTAACTAATATATCGCGTTTTAAACCGTTAAAGTGTTTTATTTAAATGTGTACTACTCGCGTAAACTATAGACAGTATTTAAATTTAATAATTTTATAGCAATAACTAAATTATATAGTGCCATCGTGTGCAATAACATGTGAAAAATATTAAAGTTTTCAAATATAATAGTATAATATATGATGGTAATATGTAGCTCTTCAATTTCATCAGTATGAGTAAATTACTCTCAACATTTCATTTGTCTCAACGAAATCAGATGAATTAGGCATTACTAATTACGAAATACTAACATATCATACCCATTTTAAATATTAATTAAATGTAGTCATTGTCTTTAGTCTACTGGAGCAGTACACGTATAATAATAATATATAAAACACTTATTTGTCGCAAAGCATCCGAAAATTAGGGTCGTAGTTAAATAAATTAAAATCAGTGAACGAGTGCATCGCATTTGAATCCGTTAAAAGTGTTTTATTTAAGTTTATAGAAGTGAAGCACAAAAGGCAAGTTCAAAGTCTAGATACAGATCAGGTACTTTAGTATCGGTTCACGCTTTATAGCTGTTTTCCAGAGCGTGTGATGATTTCAAGGTTTAATCTTCGTTTTAAATCGTTATTTTTAAGACTTTTTTATTTATAATAGCTGTACTTACTAAATAAAAATATATATTACTAGTGTTAGGTAATTAGAAAGATCTATTTTAAATACTGTCTATAGTTTACGCGAGTAGTACACATTTAAATAAAACACTTTAACGGTTTAAAACGCGATATATTAGTAAAACTTATTTGGAAATGATTTTTAACTTCGGCCCGACGTTTCGGATGCTTTGCAGCAGCCGTGGTCACGGGGAGACTAAAGATGGAGGATGTCTCTGACGTCAAAGTAAAAAATTGCTACGCTAGCGCCATCTGTTCCGTCGAAGTTGGTATTTGGCGAAACTGGCCGGGTC